GACCCACACAGTAGCTTCCCGAGATGCGGCTCACAGTCATGCCCCATATCTCTCAGGTCCCGTGGCCTCCCACCCTCATTTTTGCAGAGATGGAGGTGCTGTGGGCGGTGGGCACAGTGGGGGCGTGAAAACAGATCCGCCTCCCCGTCTGCAAGGTCTCCCTTGTATCTGCCAAAGCGTCTGCCCAATGGCCCCACTTTTCACCAGCCCAGGTGCAGTGTGATGTCATAGAAGCCGGAGCTGGTGAAGCCAGCCGCCGCGGGCGGCAGCAGCAGCAGCAGCAGCAGCAGCACCTGCCTCCGCGCAGAATCCCAGTGCCTGCCTGCGGTACATACCTTGGCAAGTGCGCGCCGGGGCTGAGTTGCATAGAGACTTTCTCCTCGCCGTGCACCCGGGAAAGCAAAAGCTGAGAAAGCAGCCCTGAGCAGCTGAACTGGATGTGCCCAGAGGGCATAAAATAAAGCTCAAGCGAGCTCTTCTTCCCTTCCCCCATTCCTCTGTGTTCTCCACCTTCCAAAGCCAGGCGCAGGCGAGCCGAGCAGCAGCAACAAGTTCAAAAAAGGTGCGGGGAGGCGAGAACGGAGGGACTCGTTCCACGACCATCACGCTGCCGCGGTCGCCGGGGCCCGAGCGGGCGGCGGTGGCTGCGAGGCTGTGGTTGCGGGTTGCCGGGCGGGCGGCGCGGCGGCGGCGGCGTGGCGGCGGCGGCGCTAAGGGGTCGAGCCGGGGCCGGGGCTGGCTGGCCGGCGAGGCAATCGTCGGACGCAGATAGGAGGCGCTCGAGAAGGCGGGGCGCGGGAGGGCGGCTGGCTTGCTTCCGCCAGTGGCGGTCCCATTCCCCGGTTCTGCGCCGCCTGCTCAGCGACACAACAAGGAGCAGGCCAACAACAACTGCGCGCACGCCCGCCACGCAGGTTGCGCAGGCGCGGCGTCTCCCTGCCTTCCCCTCGGTTTGACCTCCGTCTCCCCCCCTGCCCTCCGGCTCCCTCCTTTCGCCCACCCTTGAAGCCACCTCCACCACAGCCCCGGCGCAAAATGTCACCGAGGGAGAGCATCCAGGTGGGATCTGCCGGGGAGGAGAGCACTGGATGAACAAAGGAAGTCACGCGCTCGGCTGCAGGTTTGCTGAGGAGGAAGGGACCGCGCCTTGCTTCTGCCTCCCCTGGGACCCGACCACGGCGAGCTGGGAAAAGGAAAAAAAAAAAAGAGAGAGAGAGGAGGCAGAGAGAAGGTGGGAAGGAGGTGAGCGGAGCGGAACACGCAGGAATTATTGTCTTCTCAGCTACTAAAAGCAGACCTGCAGAGCCCCGCGGGCGGAATTTTAAGCATTTTTTCCTCTTTCTTTCTTTTTTTTATTTGTTCAAACCAGATGAACGTTGTAGGACATGTCATTCAACCAACTTGCTGAAAAAGTCGACAGTCTCCTCGCTCTAGGTTCACACAACTCCTTTTCCCGTCCTTGAGAATGACAGAAAGATTTAGAATCCTTTTCTAAATGTCAGCGTCAAGGGGCGTGAGGGCTCTGAGGTGGGGTGTCCCCTCCTTTCCTTCTCTCAGCATCTCAGCATCTCAAAATGGTTAAAGCAGTTATGTCCGTATGATGGCTAAATGATGGGGTGAGAGACTAGGAAATTGTCGCGGCCAACCGTTTTGTTTCGCACTCTGCCCCCCC